CGGCGTTTCACCGGAGCCGACTGACACGGCAAGGCACGGCACGGCGCACAGCGCGCGATACGTCCTGTGAAAAGCGACCTTTTCCTCGACCACGAGAGCACTTCTTCCTCTTCCTATCTTTACCACGCGAAGCGTTAAGCTCTTGGAAAACGGCGCGAAATTTAACGAGCGACTAAGGTCGCGAGCAAGTCGCGCAGCGGTAAAAAAAAGATGAGGAAAAACGGGGCTGAGGCAAACGGGATATAAACGATGGTGTGGCTCACGTTGCTGGAAGAGGCAACAACAACAACAACAACCATCGGTAGCGCATCAACGATAAGTTTGAAATACAAGTGTGTGCGAGGATGATCGCGCGAGACACAAGTGAAATTGTCGGCAAATGTTCCGGCGTTAAACTGCATAATTTAAGAGGTAAACTAATAATAAATCAGAAACTTGGAAACATGGCGTCGGGATTAAGTTTTTGAGGACCCGTAAGATCGTTCGTGAGATCGTGCGGTGGACGATGAAGGAAAACAAGCTGACGATATTTCTTCGTCCACTTTTTACGCCAGTGTAACCACACCGTGCGACGTAAGGGCGTAAAACGTGAATTATTCAGGGAAAGCTACGACATCGTGTGGGTGTGCGCGCACTGTCTTTCAGCTTCCGAGCATGTACCTTCTTAGTTTACGTTAAGGTCTGCGGGTGTAACGATTATGGTTACTGCCAGCAAGCTATTATCTCACACGCGAGAATTCTACAGTCATAGATATATTTTATGCACCGTTGAAATACAACTCTCGGCTATTAAATATTTTCCAAGCCATTCAATGCGGGAAATTACCAAACGTGGATCCAAGCATTCTTTCTGCTCGGCTTCACCGCCGTCCGAGAGCAGAAAAAAGTTTGCCTGCATTTGGTTTCTCCTCGTCGTAGGTTTCGGTCACTTTTGAAACGCGCTTTCACTTCGATAAAAGGAATTCCCCGAAGTAAATGGGAAAGTGTTCCCTGAATCTTTTACCTGAATCGTTTAAAAGTTCTGGGTAAGTGAAAAGAGTCGATATTTCGAACGGCCATCCTCCCTGAGAATTCTCAGCGTTGAAACTCGCGGATCGTTCTGAATAATAAACACGTTAAAAAAACACGAACTACTCTTAATAAGTCTGCTCTTGTGCTTCTTGGCGTATGAGCGAGTAACTCGAGTATTTCATCGACTCGATTTCTCTTATATCGATATAACGTGTAACAACTGAGTTTTTCCTTTTCGCGATACACGCGATTCGACTTCCTCTCGCCTATGTTTTTCGCCGTGCTCCTTTCGAAATTAAGACCGCGGACGATTAGTGTCTCGATAAACACGCAAACTCGTATCGAGGCGGTTTAAGGTTCGTGCTTCGCGTTGAAAAACCTGGCTTGGTTCTGATCCATGGAAAAAGGGGAGTGCGTGATCGGCTTGATTCCTCTGGAATCTATCGAGGAACAAAGTCACGGAGTTCGCAGACGGATGCGTATCTTCTTGGGGAATATGGCGGATTAAGGATTTAGGATCAGGAGCAGAGGATAAAGAGCGGTCGACTTTATGAATACTAATTGGTATCCGGGAGGACATTTGTCGGCGGAATTTATCGGGTTTATCGGACGTGAACTCCCTGTCGTAGCTCGACAACGGGCTCATTGAAAAGGCACGGTCCCAGACGGATCGGCCGTCACAGAGGAAAGCATGACGAAAAACTTAATACCGGGAGAGAAAGAGAGAGAGAAGAGGAGCATATTACGTAAAGAAGCTTTGACGGAAGAGTCGACCGTTGAATAATGTAGATTCCTCTATCTGCTCTCCTCCTTTCTCTCTCTCTCTCTCTCTCTCTCTCTCTCTTTCTCTCGCGTTCGCATAAACACGTATCGTTCGTACGTGAACAGGATAGAACGGTTTGGCCTGGATTTGGCATCCGTACTTGGTAATTAAGTTCACTCCGCTGTGTGCAGATTTCCCTCTCGCTCTTGTCTCTCGGTGGTACACGAAATTGCACCATTGCCGTGACGATTAAAGTGCCGATAATTCTGAGCATCGATTTAACCTATGGCTCGGTATCAATTATCGGGTCAATCGTCGTCGGATGCCACGTCCTATTTGGCCACTTGACTGACCCGAAGACATTTAAATGAAAATCGTTGCCCTTTATTCGGTCCGGACAACGGTATCGTGGCGAACGCCACGGCGACGCAATACGTTTCATCCCGGCGCGGCGTCGCGCGTTCCCTCTCTTTGTCCGTCTACGTCCACACCTACATACGACCACCCCCCCCCCCCTCCCTTTACATATATACAAGTATATGTTCATTTACAACGAAACGAAACGAAACGAAACGAAACGAATGAACGAACGAACGAATGAAGGAATGTCGATGAATACGCATGTGGAACAGCGGTTAATTGAAAATCTGTATCATCCTGTTTGGTATTCATTCATATCGAGGCTATGTATTATACACTGGGTATCGATTCGCATTACATATGTGCATAATTTCGCACGTATTCACGCTCTGTGACCGTACATGGTTAAAAATATTATTTTTTCTGGAGTTACACCCGACAGAGTAGTTACACCTCGCGACATTCGAAGGGCGTTCGATCGAGACTTCTCTGATCGAAATTGGGTTTCAACGAAATCGGGAGAGAGAGAGGGCGGTGTTCCGTTAAATGTGATTGACATTCTCGTCGCGGAAGGGAAAGCCAAGCCATTTTCTCTTTCACAATGGACCGGGATGAAGCTTTGAAAAACAGTTGTCAAGAACTCGCGCCCGCGGAGAATATTATACGATGATGCTAAGCGTCGAGTCGCATTGTGTGGTCATTAAATGGGGAGGAAAGTGTGGAACGAAAGCATGAACAACGTTTTGTCTCTCGGGAAGAAATACTTTCCCGCGGAGGAGCGCGGAGGAAACGGAGTAGAATGAAGAGCAAGGAAAAGAGAGGGAAAAAAGGCGGAAAATATAAATGCCGCAGTACGGTTGAGATGCTAGCCACTAGCGATCGAGATTTTTGCGAGAAGCTATTCTCCCAGCGCAGAAACGTTTTACGTTTGATATTCTGCGAAAGGGGAGAGTACGCGAGAGATGTGGAGCGACGCTTTATTAAAACGGTTCAAGCTCGAGGAATTTTTTGCGATGCTGGCCATTTAATAATTTCTCTTAACGATCTTTCTCGCTTCTTTTCTTTTTTTTTTTTTTTTTTTTTT